AAATTAAAAAAAATATTATATGAAAAATGTGTTCATTAATTGATTCCTGTCAATTTTTTGGGTCCACAATGCAAGATTATCTGAGGAAGTAAAGCAGCAGGTGATCAAAGTTGGGTAAATATTTTCTCTCAACCCTAAAGGAGATTGCGGAGATAAGCTGGTTAATTTTTGTGCAATGCTCAAAAAAGTGTGAAATGTAAACAGTGATGTTTATATTATATGAAAAATGTGTTCATTAATTGATTCCTGTCAATTTTTTGGGTCCACAATGCAAGATTATCTGAGGAAGTAAAGCAGCAGGTGATCAAAGTTGGGTAAATATTTTCTCTCAACCCTAAAGGAGATTGCGGAGATAAGCTGGTTAATTTTTGTGCAATGCTCAAAAAAGTGTGAAATGTAAACAGTGATGTTTACACTTGATGAATAACTGCAGTTATTCTTTTTTTAGGTTGCAGTGATGACACTTAGATATGTCTTGTGTATGATTTTGAAAGCATAGTTATGTTGCTGCATTTGAGCCTCTATATAGCATATATGTATATGTACTGTCTTATAATTGCATTCCCTCTCTTTGTTTCTTTAGTTTTCATTTTCTACACTAGAAGAAGGGAGAAAGGAAGCTTATTACATTTTTATGTATCTTTCCTTTTTGCAGTCTTTCATTTATATTTGTCAGTTGCATTTGACTTCAAGAAGGGATTTCTTCTATTTTAGAATATATACTACAAGGAATTAGCATTGTTCCCAGAAGTGTAATGGGTATTTTATGGTAAAAGTACAAAGAATATGTCCCTGCCACAAAAAACAAGCAACAGCAGTGAGGAGTAGTTTTGGTGTGCATGTATGTTTCTGAAACATGCTTTTGTCCTGTGAGTATGGATGCTAAAATTTCTTGATTTCTGTGTCTTCCCGTTCAGCCAGCAATACAGGTATGCACAGAAGGCAAATCACTGACCTTTTAGACCAGAGCATCCAGGTACATTCCCAGTGTTTTGTCATCACCTCTGATAATCGTTACATCTTGGTCTGTGGCTTCTGGGACAAGAGTTTCCGAGTTTACTCTACTGACTCAGGTAATGTATTTTTAAAATATGGGAATAGCCTGAAAGATTTTTCTGTTAATCGTCAACCTACTGTTTTGAGTAAAGAAAGAAGAGGCAGTGGGGGAGACAGTAGAGTATGTATTTATTCCACCATTAATAATATTTATTAAATATTTTCTTGCCTACTGCTACTGTGTATTGTGTGCCATCATAGTTGTTGAATGATGGCGGATGTAAGACAAGCAGCTCCTGTTTTGCCATAGCATCACACTTCAGATGTGTATGACAGGCATGCCTGTTCTTACACTGTAGTTCCCACAAGTAAATGAGTTTTTGTGAAGCTTTGCATACCTGGAGAATTAATCGTTCTTAGAGTGCTTACTTGAATTTAACTCTGGTTGGTTTTCAGCACCAGAGAGGGTTTTTTTGAGGAAATACAGGCAAACACCACAGAATAACAACAGAAGTGAAGTCTTGAAATCTGGTGAAGGGATTCTTATGAAAGCCTTTGAAAGCTGTGCTATAATAGAAACATTGATTTGAAGCCACTTAATTCTTTCATATAACAAAAACTGATCGATACAATGGGCAGCAGTTAAATGAGTCTGTCAGCTGGCATGTATCCAAACCGTTGAAGTCATGCGTGTGTCATGCTAAATAGAAAAGAATTTTTCAGTGTAAGAGCTACAGGAATTTAAAAGCCATGGAGCCCCAGAAAAAAATAGGTAGGATTTTTTTTCCCTTTCATTTTCTTATAATGGGAATAGTGACCTCACTGCGAGGTACTTCGTGGGGATTAATGACCCAGTGTGGTTAATGTGTGTGTACCATCAAGCTTTCCAGTAGGTTATTAATCCCTAGGGAATATCCTACATGTTTGTCATCATTTCTTAAATATAATAGTTAATAGTGTTGTTCACACTCAGCAAACCAAAGTGTTTAACAAAACAGGATGGTCTTTAATGAAGATCTGTTAAGGCTAGATCTCATGGCATATTTTAGCATGTCTGTCATTTTTGCAATTTTAAAGCCTTAGGTATAAAGGAGAAGTTCCATTTATTTCATACTGACTGCGTACAGTTCATTATCCAGACATCTTGTTAGGCCCTTCTTAGTTTAATTTTCTCTTTGATGAAAATAAATTTGCATAAAAATGTGAATTTAAAGGAGATCTTCAGGAAAGTTAGCAAGCAGTAATAAATATTCAGTGTATATTCTTGATTTATATGAATAGAGGACTAATTCTTTCATGTCAAAGGATGTATTTTACTTTACACCTATGGAAGGAACTTGTATGATTTTGGTAGCTTTGTCCTGTATCAATCTGAACTACAAATATCTCATTAAGTTATGCCCCCTGTGTGTAAGTCAGATACAGCAGGCATAGATAATTCGCTTATATACCAAAATACAGTTGTCAAAAAAGTTGCAGATTGTGTCTTCTGTGTGTCTCCTGTTTGTCAGTACAGCGACTTTAGCTCTCACTGATATCCACTGAATTCAGATGTAGTTTATTTTGCTTTGAATTAAAATGAGAATGTAGTAGGGGAATACTTGCTCTGAAATCAGCAGAACAGCAAAGGAAAAAGATGATGGGATCAGTAATGCATAATGGCAAGTGATCACAGTGTTGAATTCAATTACATTTTAGCACTTGCACAAAAAGGGAACCTTTTTTCTATTAGATTTTGGGTTTGTTTGGGTTTTTTTTAGCAGGCAATACTTTTAACATAAATCATGAGTTCCCAGCACAGCTAGTATAGCAGAAGCACAATAAAACCTTCCTCCAGCAGTGGGAATGATTTCTAGACAGCGTTTTAGATTCAGTAGTGCAGACTTGAGTCTTATTTTTCTGTTAATTATTCATAGCACAGCTCCAAATAAAGCATTAACTAGAAAATTTGTTCTGTCAAAAAGGGGTATCTGAGTTCATATGGTAAAGTTTGATATAAGTGTGTAGAGAGGACAACTCATATTAAAGGAAACAAAAAAGTTGAGGAACTCATGAGAGTATTTTTTTTACTAACATGAAAGAGCAAAAGCTTATTTCTTGTTTTGATGGAACTGATTGCAGAGTAACAAAGTAAAACTAACAAGGCAGTGCAAGTATATGAACAACTGTCAAATAACCTTGAAAAATGTCTGTTTTCTAGAATAAAACCTATAAACACAGAATATAATTGAAAGAGAGATCTCTATAACTCAGTGATGTTTATTCCATAAACTTGTGTTCTAAAAGTGTAAATCACCCCAGGTGGTTGAATACCTGCAGCTATACACCTGAAAGATATATCACATAATTAAATTATTCTCAAATCTAAACCATGTAAGTGACAATTTGACTTTTCAGGGAAAAACATACACTCGGTAAGATGTTTTTGAATATTGCCAAAATGAGGTTACGCAGTCTGTGAGTGTTTCACTGCTCCTAGCTGGAGAAGTTCAGGAACTTTTTCTGACTCACTCTGTTGGCTGGTCAGCATCTGAGACAGTTAGGTGACCCCGTGGCACAAATGAAAGCCCCAGTGTGCCGAGGTGACTGCTACAGAACGGTATTACAGACTGACAGAAATGAGTGAAAGACTCAGTCCCTGAGTTCCTCTCCCTTTGACAGAAGGTAGATCTGCATAGGAAGTGTACCTTCCAGGGTTTTGCCCCTTCCAGTCAGAAAAGGCTCATGTGATAGTACCTTATTTCACAATTTCTCTTGGAGGATTATACTTGTTTAGTAAGTTTTGTCAGTGTTTTATTTTAAATCTGATTTATTTCAAACTTCAATCTACTTAATGTCATTCTGTTTTGTTCTTAATGTACTAAAGTAATTCCCCTTTGTGGTAGATATTCATACCTTTTTTTTTCAGGTTTTCTCCACTTTAATGCAATTACCTTTTGACCTTCTGTTATGTATCAGACTATTAAAATTATTTTTGTTCTTTTCCTCTGAGCCACTCCCTTAAGTCTTTTGGTTACAGTTAGTGTTATTTAGTGGCTGGATATGAATACAGTGCCTTTGTACTGCATAGAAAGAGGCTATGAAGTGCGTCCTACTAGCCATACTATAGACTAATTATTTTTAATTCATGCACCAAAATATGTCATTAAGATGCACTTAATTTAAGTGTCAATGCTGATTTGTTACTACTTGTCATGTTACTAGTTACTATTTCTAAACACTTTTGGGAACATTTTATTTCAGGTAGTGTAGTTTGCATTTCCTATTTCTTTTTTGGCCTGTGTTGTTAATCCTTCCAAAGCCTTTTCCCCTTCTGTTCTTCCCCATTCTTTATTCAGCCCAAAGCACAAATGGGTGTATGGTCATTTGGGCTGAGGAATTCAAGGTCATGCATCAGCAGCATCGCACATCACACTTCATTGTGCCATTGGATGCAGAGTTTGTCCTGACCCACGTTACCTGAATGGGCCAAGTGGGCGCATAAGAAATGTGTGTGTGTATCTTTAGTCCTGCTCTATAAGATGTGCCATGCTAGGCTTGAGCAAATCTGGTGGGATGGATTTTAGTGCTTATATCCTCATTTCATAGGATCACGTGTGCTGCTAGCAGATCCAGAAACCAGCAGGACACATGACACTTGCTGTGTAGGAGCCAGTCTCTGTTGGTGACCTTATATGTGTTTCCCCTCCCACATGAAAATCCGCTATGCATGAGCATCCAAACTTACGTTCTTTTTTCTGAAAATATTATCCTGTTTGGTTAAGATTAAAAGGTATTAGTCATATTCATGTTTATACAGACTCTTGAGTGGCTTATTTTTAACTGCCTAGGCTTTCCTTTCTCTTGAACGTTTATGTCTTTATCACCAGTACAAGCGTTTGTCCTACATGCAGTAAGTAAGAGAATTCTTACAGGTCTGTATTCTGAGTGTTTTTGAACATTACAGAAATTCTTAAAAGGAAAAGATGCTGTTGAAATAACTGGTAACTGTTTAAGTGGTGATGGAAGAAACTGAGTTTTTAAAAAATTACAAGAGTAATTTTTCATCAAAAACTCCTTTTCTCTGTTTAAGGAGATGCTCAAAAGCTGCATATGGAAATGAGTGCTGTAGATGCTCTTACACTACCAATTTCTTTTGGTAGTTCTAAATGTTCTGTAGCTTTTTTTTTTTTGATTCTCTTTTCCACATCATCATCAGATTTGCATTTTTACTATTACTTTAATCACTAAACTTGCCTTTAAAGCAAATCCCATCATGTTTCCTCTATTTAAAGTGAATGTAAACATGCAGAATATAAAAAAAAAAAAACCTCATGGCATGATTTGCCTCTGAACAACGTATAATATTTATGGACTGTAAATATTTTTTATACACACTGTATGGACTACTATACTTTTAAGTAAGTTTCCACCAAATCAAGAAAAAAACCCCAGTATTCTCCGCTATACTTCTTTTTGGAACATTTGTTTAATAAAGAAAATATTTCTACAATACTTCATAATGTATTTAATTTGCCTTAGAAATAATGAAAGTGTGGTTTTAAAACAATCAACTTCATATGTTTCAGGTAAACTGATGCAAGTAATATTTGGACACTGGGATGTTGTAACCTGTCTTGCTCGTTCTGAGTCCTATATTGGAGGAAACTGTTACATTCTCTCAGGATCGCGCGATGCGACATTGCTGCTCTGGTACTGGAATGGCAAAACCAATATGGTTGGTGATAATCCAAGAGGTAAGCAAAACCAGAAAAGCCCGTTTAATAACAATGTTGTCTAGAAATGGCTTGAGTGATCACTTTGCATGACAAAATCTCAGGCAACATTAAGGTCAAAATACAGTGTTTCTTTTTTTGTAGCTGTGATCAGTTCTAGTTTAAAGAATTGAGGGTAAACAGTGCTTGCTTTGCAGCACAAGTACAACTGATTTTTGAAGTTACAGAATCATAGAATGGTTTAGGTTGGAAGGGAGCATAAAGATCATCTAGTTCCAACCCTCCTGCTGTGGATACAGGATAGTGAACATTGCAAATACATTTTTTTTCTTGTTACTCATTCAGTTGGGAAGGAGTGGCTCAGAGAGTGAGAGAAGGGAACTCATTTTTTGTACTTCCTGTTCAGTCTGAGTAAATCTTTTTCTCTCAACATGACAATTTCATTAAATACCTGCATTGGAGTTGTTTAAAACAAGACTGTACATCGCTCCAGTGCAGACTGTATTCGATGCAACTGTAATCTTACACGTATAGGTTCTCATAGCAACATCTTAACTATGAATAGAGTTACACAGTCAAAGAATTTTAACTTAGACCAGGGTCATTGTAATGAGATGGGTAATGACTTGAGCAGGACATTTAGGTGAAAGTAGGACAGACACGTGGGACAGATGAAAGAAGCAAGCTTAAAACTTTTTTCATTTAACACTTAGGTAGACTGCCACGTGCCTTATCCTTGCTCTCACATACTAGGCATTTTAATTGGTTCCAGTGCAAGCAACAGGGCTCACACCATGTAACCAAACTAATAAGTCAGTAACCCTGCTTCAGCCTAATTCAGGATTAACCCAGCCCCACCCAAACTCACCTTGCACTTCCCAAAGAATTTAATCTCTTTCATCTTGCACCATTTCCCAGGAAATCCCAACTCCTTTTACTCATGAAGAGTCTCTCTTTTAAATCATAATTTTCTATGGAAGGCAATGAAACACTATGTCTGTCCAACCCTGCTGTGCCTGTATTATACAACAGGAAAGGTAGAAAGTGATCTTGTTTATTATGCCAGTTTCAGTCCACACAGAAAAATAATTCTTGATGCCCAAAGCGAAGAAGGCAGCAGGCATGCAGCTTGACAAAAAGCCTGAGTGAGGCAGTTCACAGGAATGGGAGCCGTTTGAGACAGCTAATGAGAGCTTACATACGTGAATAGGGGGGCGCATCATAGCCAAACAGCTGTCTTGTTCTCCCTCTTTAGCCAAAAAGAAGAGAAGGGGTACAAAGCAGGATATTCTTTCTGTTTTCAGAATTGTGTGTATGGTTTTCTGCCATACACTCAAGGTCATCTCTGATCCTGTTTAAATACTAGTAAAAACATACCTGCTGTCTGCAGAGGACAAAATGGACACCTGGAAAACAGGAAGTGTTGTTCTGTCTGACTTATGTTGCAGTTATAACATACGCCAATGATTGGCCTTTGAATAAAGTATAACATGCCAATTGATTGGCATACAATTTCCTATAATGTAAACAATATCTGACTCTTCCAAATTAATCAATTTGGTAAAGCTGTCTGTTCCATACTTAATCTGTTACTCAACTGGAGTTACTTGAGTCAAAAAAAAAGAGGTGGTTTGACTGACATTGCATCCCATGAACTATGTTGAAGAAACATAACTAATTAATATAAGAATAAGTATCTGAATTTAACTTGCAAATTATTTGATTTTATGTGTGAAAACTTCAAAAATTGCACACGATACAGAAGTTCAGTTGACACAGTTACAGAATCTTCAGTCAGAAGGTGAGAGCAAACTATCCCCATTTTCCTTTCAACAATCTGATTCAAGAGATGATGTGGCTAGAAAAATATTATCAGCATCTTTAAATAAATATGGCTTTGGTTGAGGGACAAAAATCTCTGTGAATATACGTATTTTGCAATCTGTCAGTTTAAAGAAAATGCAAACTCTGCTCTTTTGCAGAACTTGTAAACTTGGAAATTCCATGAAAGAAACTTAAAAAGCTTGACAGTCAAGCAAGCTTCTGAATTCTAAAGAGCAGAACTGCCTTTCTAGGAAGAAAACCCTAAGTATTTTACTCATGTGAAGCAATGAACATTTGTAGGTGTCTCATAGTGTTTTCAAGGCCTGAAGGTGCGGCCCATCTTTGCTGATTCCTAAGCCAGTCCTGAGAAGTTGTTTTTGTTGAGTGTTTGCCAGACTTGACTTCTTTGTGAACAAGACCTTGAGGCTTAAGGCTCCTGTATGACCTTAACAGATCACATGCTGAGATTTTTTCTACCTAGTATCTCAATGGAATAGGTAGATTTTGTTATAATCTGTTGACTGTCTTCTCTGATGCAAATTTCTAACGTAGTAAAATTTTGCAGTTTTCAAAGTTGGTAGTAGGCTATTTTAACTACTGTTTAACATCAAACAACAGCTACCTGGCAAGTCTCTTTGCAGTCCTATTAAACTTGTGCTTTTAGGGACGTGCAGTGGCTCCAGTGTTTACTAGTTGCCATTATGTAGCTTTTTTTTGTGACATAGCATGCCTGAAAGCCTTTGTTACGAATTGGAATCTCGTGGCGCTATACGTAGGCCTAGACATGTGTATAGTAAAAGACAGTTTCTGCTTCAAAGAGATGGTAATCTGTGAGGTTTAATTTTTCCCAGAAACAGCTTTCTATAGGCATCTCTGTTCAGTCAAATTTTTTTTTGAAAAGGCAAATAAAAAGAGCTGTTTCTGCTTAGTTCTGATTTTGTGAGAAATGGGAAGCACCAGCAGGGTTGTTGGGTTTTGAGCCCTGTTACTGCAGCTGTAACTTCCATTCATCTGTGGGATGCTGGATATTTAACTTGTCTGATGTCTTGTTGTATTTAACGTTTATGACTTTTTTACCTCAAAATACAGTTTATTCATGCTTTCAATGAGAATTATTGTAAATTTAGATACTCTCACAGTTGATACTTCTTTCCTTTTTTCCCCCTCTATTTATTATCTCTAATTTCTATCTTAAAATGACTTCACAGCAACATGCGCCCAGCAGCACTGTACCAAATCATGATGCCAGAGTACTTTCCACAGAAATAATATAAACCAGGAGCATTTCTTTCCTCCTTTCGTAGTACCTGTTGCCTCTGATATATACATCAGTCAGCAGTATGATCAAGCTACCCTAAATACTATCCCGTTGGGCACCCATTACTCTGCCAGTTGCATTTTATTTGCATTCCTTTACCTGTTTTTGTTACTTTAGGAAGGACTGAGCTCTTGATCTCTGGCTGCATATATTCATGTTACTGAATGGTACTTAACTCAAGCTGACAAGCCAGGTGGGCTTTGGCATACGTGACAAATAAGTGTTTTGTTTTATACTCTTCATCAAGGACAATTTTCTGGCCAACTGGACTGAATGAAAAAATTCTTTATGTTTTTGGTTTAAAAGAAAAAATATGTTAGCAAAATATTCATTATTTGCATTCTTTATTTTTTAACTTTTAAGCTGACTTCTTAAAGAAATTGTACCTGTGCAGTCTTGCTGTCTGTTTAGTTTCTCCCTAATAACTCTCAAATGCATTGATCAGTATAAACCAAATTTAATGAATTTAAATCTCAAAGATATGAAATTCCTACATGGGACACATCTGCTGGAAACTATTTTTCTTCTTCACGAAACAGCTTGATTACATTTGGGTTAAGTCCTTTTTTCCTTCTCAAATTAAAACCTGAAATTCAAAAAATATTTCTCCATGCTCTTTGATCAAATGTAGGTTTTTTTCCTTTCTAAATTAATTAGTTTTGAATATGTAGAAGCGTGGCAGTACTTCGCTGTGGTGCACAGGCTTTTTCTGATGCAGAAATGTTTCTGCGGACAATTTCTGACCAAGCCTAGGAATAATTCAGAACAGAGCAGAGGATCTGAAATAGTTGTATCCTTTAGGATAGCCCTGGGCCATTTTGAGCTCACATTAATTAGCATAATTTACTATGGAGATGTAAAGTCGCTTTGGATAGCTTAAGGGGCTTTTATTTTTCTCTCCTTGGCATGTGGGTTGCTTTGGGGAGGTGGGGGAGGTAGGAGGAAGAGGATGTAACCCTCGCCTTGGCTCCCCTTGAAGTCCACGTGTGATCTGTATCACAGGGTTGGCTTTTGCATATTTAGAGGCTCTGATCTAATAGCAAGGTACCACTTGGGGATGTGACATTATGCCTCGGGACTTATGTTCCTGAATAACGTGGTAGAATGCGGAGGGGTTACTGGGAGAGGGCGGTGTACTTGCCGAAAGATGCCGTGTCCCAGCCATGGAGGTGGAGGGGAGGCGAGAAGTGGGGGGTGAGGGGAGGAACTGCTCGTGATGGCTGGAGAAAAGAGATGAGAGGATTCATTTGCATACAAATGGTGTGCATTACCTTCAGATCCCACTCTCACTTTGAAGCTCAAGTGGCAACTCTTAGTGTTTGGACATTTCCAAGGTTGAGGGGTTGCATTTTACTTTGTAATCTCAGAACCATAGGAAACAGGGCAGGCAGGAATTTTGGTCACCTGATGTAGTGTCTTTTCCCAAAAAAGGCTTGACTGCACCAAAAGCATTTTTGACTGTTGCTTATCCAACTTTCTGCTAAAAAAGAAAATACATTTTGGGGCCTTAGAAACCCTATCATTAGCAGTCTTTTCCAAGTGATCAGCCTAGTATCCAGTTCTTTTTTGCAGCAGTTGTGCTCTGTCATTTCTTGTATATTTAATCTTTGTGTAGAGAACAGATTGTTTATTTCCTCCTTGCAACAGCTTCCAGTTATCTGGATTACCACAACCTGCAATTCTTTACTTCTAGATTTAATAACCCAAATCTTTCTGTCTTTTGCCCTAAATCATGTTTTCCTAGACCTCTGATTTTTTGTGTGTTCCTCTCCTCTTCAGTTGGTATCTTCCTCAAAGTAGACCCAGCAACGCAGTTGAAGCCTTTCCAGTAATAGGTAGAAAACAACCTGGTTTACAGACCAGGACTTTTCTTGTCCCTGTTCTTTAAGTGTATCAGCCAATAGAAATTTCAGTGTTTTCCAATGAACCGCCATCTGCTCAATTGTTTCTGCTCCTCTGTGTAGCTTGACTGTGGAATCCTGTCTTTAAACTTTCTGAATTGTATTCTTTTTAGACTCTTTCTCAAATTTGTCAAACTCATTTTGAATCCTGTCCTCCAGCAGACTTGCAGCAACTCATGACCCTGTCAAATTGGTCATCAAAGAAAATACTTGTTTTCAGGGATGCCCCTTGATACATTTACCATTTTGAATTTTCTGAATGTAGCTTTCCAACTAGCTTTTAGTCTGATGTATAGTAGTGTCTTCTGAACGTATGCCTCCCTGTTTTCCTTCAGAAATTTCCCGTGTGAGAAAGTGCCAGAGTCCTTACTAAAGTAAAACTATATGATGTCTTCCTGAACACAAGTCCTGTTCTTCTGCCATTGCACGAAAAAAAAATTGCTTTGACGTGATTTGTTCATAATAAATCCAAATAAGCTGTTACTCATCTCCTTGTTTTCTTCTAGGAGATTGTGTGTGTGTATAAAGAGATAGATGTTCTGCCAGTATTTTTGCTCTATGTTGGGATTAAGCAGACTAATTTCTCAGTTTTCCTGCTTCTTAAAGAACACAAGACTTCTTTTTAGACTTACAGAACCTCACCCAATATCCATAAATCAACAGTTACTCCTCTGGGACTGTTTAGTTTCATTTTCACAATATCCACCAATCAGTATTATCAGGCAAATAGAGTTCTAAACATTTACCAGATTTAGGTATTCTCTAATTGAGCCAACAGTTTTCATTGCTGCTTTTACTTGTGCTTGCTGCCTGACTGCAGTTTGCCTTTTTATTGAAGGCCAACTGACTTTTTTTTTTTTTAATGGAAATACTTTCAAATGTGTGATGTCATCTATTAGTATTGATTGCTCTTAATTACAGGCCAACTTCTCCTGAAAATATATTTTTCTGCTTATAGAATGACTTTTACTCCTTCGGTCATTGTTAATTGCATCTCATCTATGCTTGGGTATCCTGGTTTTGTCCCTGCTTGCTCATACCTTGTCTTTTACACTGGTTCAGAAAAATCTCCCTTATTTTGATCTTTCTGCCTGACTTTCCTGTGTTTACAGTCACTGGACAACTTTCAGTTGTGCCAGCTGGTATTTTCTTGTCCAACTTACTCTTCCGCTGTGTGAGAGTGGTTTTGCTGGTATCCTTATTACCTTTGTTATCTGTAGACTTAACTTCCCATGAGATCCTACAGAACAATGTTCTGTATCTATTGAAACTTGTCTTCCCAAAATGCTTAAAAAAATTTTCTTGTCCTTCTTCTTTCCCTTACAAAGCATATTGAACACTCTCACATCTACCCCATTTTCATCTAAATTCCTTTCATCACCATGTTTCTGATCTGTTTTGTGATACTGGTTATAATCATATCAAGAAGGTCATCTGTAGCTGTTGTTTATATATTAAAAACTGTCACCAGATTGCTTGCTATGCACATACTTGTTGTATCCCTTTACCAGTAAATGTCTTTGTAGCTGGAATATCCCTTTTTCTCTAATGCTCCTTCTTAATGATCCCTCACCTATGCTTACCAGGTAGAGGCTAATCAGATTAGTGAATGTCAATCTGTGTCTTCAAAGTTTTGGTTTCTTCACTGTAATTACTTTATTTGGATGTACTTTCTTGGAGGCAAGGTTTACAGTGCTGAATTTAATTGTCTTAATATTGTTTATGCTTATAAAGTGATAGGCATTCCCATAGTCGAGCTGAAGATAAAGCGCTTTTCTGCTAGTCTGGCGCTTTATTCATAGAATATGGAGAGACTGTTCTGTTGCTTTCAGAATTTCTACAGATGTGTTCACAGTTGTTTTTTAGTTTGCATATTTTGAAATATAAAGAGGTATCTAATTTAGAAATTTTATTTACCTAATGAAATTAAGGCCTAACCAATAAAAGTATTCAGTACTAATGAAATGTAGTCTGTGTATAACTATTACTAATACTAATGTGATCTCTTTTGAGTTATTGCATTGATCTTCCAAACACATGTGAATAAAACAAATTATAACACGTCTTTTATGTTAGCCCATGAAAGCAGAAAATGTTACTCTCTGTATGTATCACATTTGCATCACAAGGATTACGGGCCT